GCTTGCTGTGTGCGTTGGGCTGGTGCTGCGATTGCTCCAGCCAGAAACGAGCGATCAATTACAGGGGGCTGTGGCCAAATCTTTGGAGATCCAGAAGTGGAGATCGCGAGGTTCTTTGCACATGATGTTTGCGCTTTAAACCACCACTTAAGGGTAGCCTTCCTTTTTTGAGGTGTCGTACCTTTCGGCTTGAATCGGAGTTGGTCAAGGCGTGTTATCAGGTAAGGGTACGGCGATATGCGGGTGCACCAAATGCAGCATGGTTGCATTCATTGTTCTTTGATCCAGCTGAAAGCTGACACAAAGGCAACTTATCGTGCAATGCATGATCGTAGCAATGGATTCTTCGGAAGCTTGACAGCTGCTCTACAGAACATGTGCATCCCCCTCCCTCTAGTAGAGTTTGTGATTTAGTCGAACGGGTGAAAGTTGAAAGCTTGTCTTGCCATGTTCTGTTGAATAACTGGGAGATTGGTGTGTCCAAAAATGGTAGCCTTTCCGATGACCCCAGACTACTTCCTTCAACCTCCAGAAGGAATCTTCGGTTCTCAGGGGGGTTTTCAGGTATTTGTTCCATTATTCTCTCGGGTTCGGAGTCCGAAGCCCTCTTTTCGGAAAAGCGGGGGGTCTGCGCTTTGCGGTTTTCGCGCTTCACTGAGGCTGCAAAGGACCCGTCCATACAGGAGAAACAACAGAAGGCATTGGATGCCCTGGTGGCAAGGCAAGGTGGGTGGGCTCGTCTTCCCGGAGGTTGGTGTCAAGTCGAAGAAGCCGAAATCAATCCATTTCGGGGGGTCTCCCTATGTTGACGCGTTCCCCATCGATTTGGTTGGATCTGTACAAAAAATCCTCTCTTTGGGCTTAGGTGTCATTGCATTTTTCTTTAAGACCGGGACTTGGCGCGGGACCAATGTGCACGTTGTGCGGCTGTGGCGGCAGGGAAGACAGCTAGCTTCACCCGCTGTCACAAGGTGTCTGCAAATAAACCAGCTTAGTGCTACAACGTATGCCAGTGCTTAGCTTGAAAGGTAGAGTGAACGTCCATGTCCGCCTTTTCAAGGGGCGTCCAATGTGACCTCTCAGGTTGTCATCGTTTTTTCTTTCGCAGAGCAGGCTACTTGCAACTTGTGCAGGGCATCCCGTGTTTTCAATCTCCGGGCACCAGTTGGAATGGATGATATTCAATGGGATAGGCCACCAATGTCAAATGGCTGTGGGTCAAAGGATCCCTGGTAAGTGGACTGATGGACTAAAACCTGTGGTTTTGTGGTGATGTAATTTTGATCCATGCCCAACTGATGCCCAGCGTGGATTTTTGGTCCACAGGTCTTGCTGTTGGGATCCGCCGGCCAGCAGCTTCCCACGTGCGCCTTGAGGCACCCGGAGATGGCGCAGAAGAAGGCGGCGCCCCCGGCCCCGGCCGCGCCAGCCGCATCTCCAGCCCCCGCCGTGGCTGCAGCCCCGGCGGTTGCTCCAGCCACAGCCCCGGCGAGCCCAAAGAAGGGAGCTAGCTTCAAGGAGAGAAACAACAACAATACAAATCATGTTGCCGATGTGTGCACTCGCCTTTTTGCGAGTGCGTTTCATGGCCTTGGCAGTTTTCAAGTTTTGCGGATTGCCCCATGCCGTGCCAAGCTCCACGCGCCTCGCAGGAGACTTCGCCGGCGCCGGCGCCGGCGCCGGCGACGCCGTCGCCGAAGCGGGCGGAGCCCAAGGCGTCGCCCAAGGCGTCGCCGAAGGCGCGGCCCAAGGCGCCGCCGTCGCCCGCGCGGGCGCCACCCAAAAAGGCCGGGACTGGACGCCTGTGAGGGGCGGTGAGGGGCGGTGAGGGGCGGTGAGGGGCGGGCAGTGTGCGGGGAGTGACTGCATTGCCTTTGGGTAGGGTTTGGTGGGGGACAGGGGATACACGGGACGGAAGGCGAACAGAGGAGTGAAGCAGGTTGAGGAGAGGGTGAGCGGGGCGCGTAGGAGTCCTTCGTCCATGAATCAACCTGTCTGTTGTGTGCCTCATTCCCGCTAATGGTCCGGACTCACAGCCTGGTCCCACTACAACCTTTTTCCGTGTCCGACCGAGTCCCTATCAACTCCCCACACGTGCAACTTGGAGGGCGGCTGGCTGCACACCCACAACTCCTGCGAAGTCCTTGCGTGCAGGGCCACCATGAAGCCTCACTCACCCTCAAGAAACCTGATACAACCGCACTCCACACATCAATCAATGCAGGTCAAGAGCGAGTCGTATTGTTGGCTCCTATTCGCCGGCCCATGGAGCGGAAGTCAAAACAGCCCTCCGTACACTACGCTGATGAAGATGTAGCACGACCTGTCATTTTCGGAGAATTTTGTGAGAGAAGCACGCGTCCAGCTTTGCGAGGTTATTTTGCAAGGGAGTGGCTTTAAGGTCTTCGCGGTCTGAATGTAGCCTTCGACAACTCTTTTCGCCAATCAGATCATGGCCCAATGCGGGTTTCATGGAATGCTATCACGAGAAGCAGCCTGTCGTTTTTGTTTTTTTTTGGCGGGAACCCCATTTTAGTCGGTTTTGAAGTTTAACCACAAGGAACCCGAGCATGTGGGTCCCTTAAAGAGGAGCAGCCCAGCACACCATCTGGTCTTCTGGCGGCCCTCTTTTTGCTTCGGCTGTTTTTGGAGTCCATCCTTTTGAGGTCGTCCTTTTTTGGAGTTCGAGTTCTCAGAAAAAACTCACCCCAAACTGAACCCTCCCCCTGTGACGTTCCCGGTGATTCCGAGCGTTGGAAAACCCGTGGGAAGCAGCACAGGTGCGCGCCAGGAAGGCCGTGGAGGCATGGATCATGGTGTTGGGATGTGTTCCCTTTTGGCTGGTGAAAGGTTTCCCAAAGGCCGTGGGGCTGAGGCAGAGAGAACTGGGGGTCCCCGGATTGTCTTTCAGGCTGACCTAAGGATTCGTCATGGGAAGGACCAGTTTGAACTTCCAAGAGAGGTCTGTTGATGCTCCTGGCTGAGTGTAGGCATTTCGCGTGCGGGGCGTCTGGCCAACAAAGTTGAGATGTTGGAGAACACGAATGTCTTTCAGTCTGTTGATGGTGGCCGAGCCAAACTCAAAATAAGCAGCTTGGCCACACGCAAGATGCGTTGGTCATTCATTGCTCCATTGGACTAGGGAACCTGTCCCTCGAAACCTACAGAGCACTTTCATGTGTCTGAGACCATCCATCCATCCCTCCCTTCCATCCACCCATCCATCCCTCCATCCATCCATCCATCCGTCCGTCCGTCCGTCCATCCATCCATGCATCCATCCATCCTTCCAGTCTGCTGATAGCCGAGCTTGGGGCTGCGCAAGCTGTTTGTCCTCATGTGGCCTATTTAGCTCAGTCTGCCGTGCTGGCTGACAGAACATAAAGGGAATGGTAGGCACGCCATCATGACAATGGCAATTTACGATCTTATCATGAAATGCAAGGTGTCTTCATGTTACCATCGATCTGGCGGATTGATAGGAGGGACAACTTCTTTCCCCGATCTTTCATGGCGACTGTTGGTGTTTGGAGCCAGGGTTCAGCGGATATTCTCAGAGTGGGTATTCTCTGTAGGGCTTCTCGGTTGCAAGGACTCAAGTTACAATCTGTGTGTACTTTTCATCAGGGATACTCACGCCCTTGCACTGGGGTTGACCCCGTTTTTTGTTGAGCGAAAGCCGTGGCTCCACTTCAGGCGAGCCGCGCAGGCGCGTTGGCGAGTTGGGCTTTGTCCGTGGGTCAGTTTGGAATCCATTTAGGGTTTGCCCCGTTTTAATACCTGAAAAGTCGGGTCTGGTTCCCACGTTTTAACACATACTTCTATGTTATTTCTCAGAAGAGGGAACTTCATTTTGGCTGGTGTTAACAGGAGATTGAAAGAAGACCAACGATTTACAGCTAGCGTCCCTCTTTTTGAGAAAGGCTGATTTCCCAAAGAACACCGCGGAATTGTCTCAATTCGAGCGCGTGGCATTCTTGGAATCGCCCAGAAAGGCGCATCGACCTAGAGCCCCTGTTAGGATGTAGGGAACCGAAAGGAGGCCATCCAGTTGTAGGGGGGCAAAACCCCGAATTCTGAGAAGCGCCATGGAACGTTGGAGGGTGTGGAAATAGTCGGACAGGTTTCCCGCAAGCCAAGCCTTTGGATGACCTTGGCATCCCGACAGGGTTCAGACGGATGTGTGTGTGTGTGTGTGTGTTCCCGAGCCCAAGTTGCGAGCATCTGATCTTCAAAGTCGGCGACTGCAAAGTTGGCACGAAAGCGTTAAGTTCGCTATGCATTCTTCCCGACAGACATCCCAGATGTGTTAGCCGATGGACTTCAGTATAGCTGTAGGTGTGCACTTGTTTAACTCTAAAAAGTGTTCCACTTGGCCAACCATTTTGCCTGCTACCCGTAGCGGCGCTGGCGCTCCCGTTTTGTCCTGTGCTCGTAGCCCAATTGCGCATTCCCGACTCCTGGTTGCTGGTTGCTGGAAACTATCAGGGCAATGTGCGGTGTTTGACTCCTTTTCTGCATGCCCCATGCGGCCATCTTGATGGAGTTGGTCCTGACCCCCATGCTAGCCGCTGCGCGGAAGAGAAACTCTCTACTGCCGTCCCCGCTGAAAGCCGCGTTGTCCCCTCTGCTCACAGCGGATTGATCGCGATCTTCCCTTCCCTTCTTCATCCAGGGTCTTCTGAGTGCACTCGGTGGGGGAGATACGGATGGCAGCAGATCGCCCCAAGCCAGAGATGCCCAGGAAACTTGGGCATCGTCTCCCACATCTCCCAACTGTGGCACTAACCCCGAGAAAAGAGTGCTGCTCTTCGGAAGTAGCGCGCATGTGACGCTTTGGGGAGTTAAGTCAGCCTCCGAAAGTAGTTCGAAGCTATGAATGAGTGAAGACTTAACAAACATCAATGTAGGAAGCGTTAAAATTATGAATGACTGAAAGTTAAGAAAGTACAGTGCTCCGGCCATGCAGCCGCTACTGCTCCACGTTTCTCGTCGCTGCCATGGCTTACTCTGGCACTGCGCCGGTGCCGATGGAGTTTGGGTATTGGCAGATCCGGGGTCTTGGAGCTGTCTTCCGCATGCTTTTTGAGTACAAGGAGGCCAGCTATGTGGACAAGCTATACAACAGCGGCAAAGACTGGTTCAAGGGCCGAAAACCCGAGATCTTGGCCATGAACCCCTTGGCCAATCTGCCCTACCTCGTTGATGGCGAGAAATGCATTTGTCAGACCAATGCTATTCTGAGTTATTTGGGCGACAAGTTTGGCATGAGCGGAAAAGACTCGAACACAGGAGTTGCTTTGTGAGATCTACGATGTGCGAATCGGCATGATTGATGTGTGTTACCCAAGCCACCAAGTTTGCCGAACAAAAGAGGAACATGATGCAAAAGCCCGGATGATTGTCCACAAGGCGCCCTTCCATAAATTCGAAACCATCCTGTGTTTCAAGGACAAGTGGTTTGTGCTGAGCGGCGGCAAGTGGTTTGTGCTGAAGGATGGGCCTGGCGTGGCTGATGTTCATATTTGGGAGATGCTGGACCAACACAAGATGCTGGCAGAGCGCATTGGAGGGCCTGACATTTTTGAGAAGTTCCCCAAGTGCAAGGCCTTCTACGAGGCCTTCAGAGCATTGCCAACTCTGCAGAAGTACTTTGCCAGCGAGGCTTACCACTTCGAGGTGAACTACAAGCCGCAAGGCGCATGGTTTTTCTAGAGGCCCGTGGCCAGTTGCAGATCAGTTTGAGGTAGCCCGTGGCCAGCGCTCGCTCTCCACTGGTTGCCCTTGATGTGGCCCATGCAGAAGGCTGGCCAAGGTGCCAGGGCATCGTAAGAGGAAGTGAACATGAAGAACCGGCTGGTGCGATAAGCAGGGAATGAGTTGAAATGACCCTTACAAACTCCATCCAACTGGTTTCCTTTAAGGGGACCAAAGCCTGGGTTCATTCAAACACATTCCCTATCGCAGCAGCAAGAAACCATTCAAGCGCGGTGTTTACAGGAGTTCTTTCAACCCGCCCTTGAGGCACATTCAGAAGGTGTCCCTGCAGCCGGTGAAACGAGTTCAACCAGTGTCGGGGTCAGTTTGGTTGAAGATACCTGCATTTCAATAATGTACCGGACTCCATCTTTTGTTGCCACAACAAAGTTTACTGGACTCCATCTTTTATTCTTTTCTTTTTACTAAAAGGACAACTCCCAGGGCCATGCCGTTAAAGAAGTCCGCTTGAAAACCGGGGATCTTCAATGGGGGTTGACTTCAAATGGCAAACTGGGCACCACGAGCCTCTTGGTTTTCTCTTGAAATACACAAAACAGGATTCTGGCCTCAACAAGAAGGTACCCTCCGCAACATCGGGAAGATCCGAATAAGCCATTGACTTATCATCCCTTGTGATTGTTTGGATCTCCATGTGGGTGTGTCTGTTTTTGAGGTATCCTTTTTGGTTTGGACATCTTGGGTTCCATATCCTGTTTTCAGACCAACTCGCGTGCTTGAGGCGCAGTTTTATCCGAGCCTCAATGACCAAACTGCTAGTGACCCTGGGTCAGTGGGTTCCGGCTTCGCCAGGAGATGGGGAAGCGCAGCTGGAGGCTCGAGGGCTCGAGGGCTCGAGGGCTCGAGGGCTCGAGGGATTGGCTTGTGTCTGGTTACTTGAGTTGAAGCAAACCATAGAATCGTCGGTTTTTATGCATATATTTGTATGTACATATGTATATATATATATATATATATATATGTATGTATGTACATACATATATGGTGAGGGTTATGCAGGTGTCGGGAGGTTTCTCACTTGGGTTTTTGTTTGTCTGAGGGTACTCAATTGGGGTTGTTCGAAGGAAACCAACACCAGAGCCATCATTCTGGGGGTCTCCCTATTTGGACACATTCCCTTATTGATAGTCTACTGTCAGTTTGCGGGCGCATGGGGGCACAACCAACTCGCCACACAAACCAGGGCGACCCAATTCTCCCATAACGGACAAAGAGCGACCTCACACTGGGTGAAGCCGCGACTTAGTGGCGGTTTCTTTCCTGGGGATCCTGATAGCTCAAAGCAGTTCCAATTTTCGTGGTGGGTGCGTCTTTCTTTGAGGGTCGTTTTTTTTTTTGCTTTAAGGACAACCAACAAGATAACCAGCGTTCTGGGTGTCCTCCAAAAAGGACACAGCCACTGATAGGGTTTATCTTTGTTTCCTTAGCCAGGTTCCCTACTGTTTGCCCCCCCCTCCCTACTGTGGAGGGAGATCCACAACACGCACCAGTTGAGATGGATTGATGAAACCCCTACTGCGGATGGACGAAATCCTGCCCCACCTAAGAAACCATGGGATGATGTTTATCTTGTAAATACCAACAAATAATGGTTTCCCAAGGATTTTGTCCATCCACAGTATGAAGACTAAAGTAATGATTAACATTCTTCTATGCACGGCCTGTTCTCCGGCAAGGCAGATGAGACAATGGCCAGCACTGTTAACACGGCGGTCTCGCTGTCCTATGACAAGGCGTGACTGGGGCTTCTGAATCCCATGCAGAGAGTCGACTTTTTTGGAGTTGGTGCCCGTTTCGTTTCAGGTTGGTTTCAAGGGCAACCAAAAGACATTGAGGTTTCTCATTTTTTGATACATCCCGGATTGGAGGAAGCCCGCATATCACTCCGTGCAACCGGGCCACACAAATCTATGTTTTATTTTCGCGAGTCCGGAGCCACGGTTGACTGCCCCAAAATTTGACGGCAGGTCACATGCTGAGCCTGTGAAGTACTTACCCTGGGGCAATGCCCTCAACCTTTTTTGCTCTGCAAGAGTCAGGTCAATGCTGCCACAGTGAGAGGTCTCAATTGACTCTGTGAAAACTCCCCCGTAACTTGCCGTCGACCTTGGTGAGTTGGCAAAGGTCCTGGCCAGACCACCGGAACCAACTCCGCCGGACGAGGCAGCGACCCAAATGGACATGACCATGACTCCCAAGCGCCGCTCACCCAAGGCGCGGTTCTCTTGGGAGGGGGGCGGTGAGGGCGGGAGGTGCTGGGTGTAGCTGTGGTTGATTTCTTTGTGCGAAAGAGAAGCATACCTTTAGCTAGATGTCTCTGCACTTCGTTGGCTTCTTTCTGGGGTTGGGGGAAGGCGACGTGGAATTATTCTTTCTGTTTTTTGCGGCAAGAGGAGCAACCTTCGGCGGCAAGAGAGGCCTTCCTGTGCCTCCGTGGGCCCTGCGTTTTTTCCAAAACCAAACGCGCAGAGAGTCTCTTGAAGGAAATGGCCCCGCATCCCTCACTTCAAGCACGTGACCATTAGTTTTAGGGTGCCTCCGAAAATCCGCCCGCCATTCGGCAGCTCTTTGGCGTCCACCGAAAAATTGACACCGAGACCTCGACGGTTTTTTAACCGTAGTCCCATTGCAAGCAGCTAGGAGGAAGGCCCCCCCTGCTGTTGGAGGTAACCCATGTTCTAGTGCAGGCACATAATCTGCATCATAAAACATCATGTGATGTTGTCCAGATTCTTAACCCCCCCGCCCCCCCCTCCACCCTCACCCCTCCCCCCTCCACCCTCACCCCTCCCCCCTCCCCCCCTCCCCCCCTCCACCCTCACCCCACCACCCTCCCCCTGGCCCCTCCCCGTGGTTTTCGAGGGTTTGTGGTTGGCGCGGATCAGGCGATGTCCGCCTCCATGACTCAGCTGCCCTCCACTCGGGGCGCGGGACCCGTCCTGAAAGCTTTGGGGTCTCAGCCCAGATAGGCTCCGGGGTGGTCCGGGGCGGCCCTGAGGTAAGGTTCCACCGCTTGCTGTTGGGGATATTACCTGAGCTTATTTTTTTTTGGGAGGGGCAACCCAATGGTGGTGCTTTTAGTTGCTTGTAGCGTTAAATGGAAACCCAAACACACCACCCATTGGTCCCCTCGAAACAGAGACCAAGCCGGGCTTCATTGGGAGTCTTTTGGGGGGTTGGGTTGAAGCCGGGCGGAGCTCAGGGCCAGGGCGTCATGGCCGTTAACCTCCGGCCAAGGGAGATGTCGGACGGTTTGCTTTTGGCCGGGGTGACAATGGCTCCACTCAGCCCATAGCTCTCACAAGAGCCAAGCCTTGGAAGCCCGCGGTGTGAATTTCTTCATCGGACCTCTTGGGGAATCGGCCCGCGGTTCAACCACACCGCTTCTAAAAAAAGGGGCCGGACATCCGGCTATTGGACTGGCCCAACTTGATCCAAGCAGCCCTTTCAAGAGGCTTTTGATGAGAAGCCAGACCAAGGTCCCATTGAGACCAGCGGCTGCCAGCGGGAGATGTTCCTGCCAGGGGCCGAGCGAAACCACCTGAAAGGGGAACTCTTACCCCCCCCCCCCCCACCTCTCTCTCAGGGGAACTGGACGCGTTAAGTTTTGACGGTTTCTAGCATCATTTCCCTGAAACATGAGGCAATGATCCACTGGGAGAGCAACCCGCAGGAAGGCGCATAGAAACTTTTTACTTTGGCCCACCTTGGGCCCCAAGGGGTGCCATGTTGCAGTCGCAAAGGTGTCAACCTGTTTCCTGGGCCAATTACAACGACGTCACCGGGGGGGGGGGGTTGCGACGTCGCCCATGAAGCTTGTTTGGATCCATTTAAGTCTTGTGTTGGGTTCGTGAATGATCAAATCGTACCCAGACTTCCAGTTCACGCACCGCATATATATATATATATATATATTTATATATATTTATGTGTTTTTTCTTTTAAGGGGTTCCTTTGACTAAAGAATGCCGTTGCCAATTTTTCGTTCGGTTTCCCGCCGTTTTTTTTGTTTGACATACCCATTCGACTCCGCTTGGAACCGAAGGCATGAGACTCTGCCGTCCAAAGACCTGGGGCAGGATGACATGGACCCCTTTGGGATTGACAATTGCAAGGGTTTGGGAGCCACGACTGAGACACACATAATGAGATCTGGCCCTCACCACGCGTGCTGAAAGGATGCACCATCATCCTCCCTCTCTGCTCAGCGACACCATTTTTCGTGCTCACATTGCGCGTTTCATAGATCCGGTTGTTTATCCGGTTTTTCCTCAAACGCCAAGAAGGGCGGTTTGGGGTTTGCCCTTGCAAATTCTGGCCAAACAGAGGAGAAAGCTCCTCAATCAACAGCAGGACATCCAGGATGCGCAGCTTCAAAAGGGAAGTCATGTTGCTAAGGCCAAGATGTGCATCTTGGATTTTGGGGGCATTCTCTGGAGGGTCGGTTTTTTCCCTCGGCAGGTAGAGGTGTACGAGAGACTTTTGAAGGTGAGGGCGGTCCAGGAAACCTCCTGTCAGGTTCCATGATTTCTGGAGGCGGCGGAATTTGACTTCCCTTGATGGGCAAAATGATTTGACATCCCTTTTCACGCCTTTTGAAAGGCATCCGAACTGGTGTCATGGCTGTTTGGGGGTGAAAGTCAGACACTGAGGTTGTTCCCTTCAACCCACCACGTAGGACTTTGAACATGTTCATGTAGTGCTTATTAAATCATAGTGCACAGACTCAGTGCAATAATTAGCAACAGCAACTTTACAAAACATCATCAAACATACCCCAGCTGCCCAGTAGTGCCTTTTTTTTCCCTTTTTTTGGGGAAGGGTTCCCCTTTAAGGTCAACCAACCAACAAACGATGCCCTGTTTTTCCCATGGAAATCCACTGGGCATCATTGAGACAGCAACCCGCCAACGCGGCTTGAGGCACAGCCTCTCGAAGCACGGCTCCATGCCCCTGCTGAGCTTCGTGCCACGCAGGGATACGCCGGGGGACTCGGGAGGACGCAACGACCATCTGCTGGGGTGCAAAAACGCAGAGAATCAACAATACCATGGGCGCATGTAGGGTACAATGGGCGCATGAATTCGCAATGACCAGGACATGTTTTCCCAAATCTTTGGCTTGGACCCACCGAAATGTCGCGACCCACCCAAGTTTGTCGCAGCAACAGAAGGCCCGCCGAATTTGTCCGTGTGCGTAGCAAAGTGTGTCGCCCAAGGCTATGGAGCGGATCGTTTGCTTCGGCATGGTTTCCTTTTGGCCGGCTGGAGCTGCCACAAGTGATGCTTTTCAGGCAACCTCCATGGGCCCAGATGTTCTAAAGGCCCCTTCGGTGTGAACGAGTCATTCACCCTGCATTTGACGTGTTTGGTAGGGGGACAATGGTGTTTCTGCAAGTGGAGGGGGCTGGTGTTTTACCATGATGCAATCGCTAAGCATCGCGTTGACCCGAACGGACATCAGCAACGCTCGGGGGGGGGGGGGGGTCAATGCAAAACGCGTTCCTCTTTTCGGTGGCATACGACTTTTGGACGAGGACGATGCTTCCCCTTGAAAGTCCCAGGTAGGAAGCCCACCGCTTTCCGACCAAAACGGCGTCGCAAGATCATACGTGTTGCACAGAGGTGCTGACTCGGCTCACTTGGGCTCCAGTAGCTACAAAAACAAGGCCTTGTTGGGGAAGGGTTTCGACCCGAATGTCTTGTGGGCCACTGACCATTCGTCGCGGTTTCTGGATTTGCGAGTATTTGCCCCGGCTCGCACTTGTCAAGCTAGGGCGACGCCCAGAATTCCGTTTCACCTTTTGTAAAATGGTTTTCATCTCACCGGTTGGTTCCTGTCAACCCGCACCCTTCGCCTCAAGCAGCGAGAGCTGCCGCTAGGAACCTATGGGGCTCCAACTCCAACCCGGCGCCGGGGGCCGAGTGGTAAAAGGGGGATGGAGGGAGGGGGAGAGGGAGCAGGGAGGGGAGGGGGAGAGGGAGAGGGAGAGGGAGGGGGAGGGAGGGGGAGGGAGGGAGAGGGAGAGGGATGGAGGGAGGGAGGGAGGGAGGGAGGGACGGCAACCTCATATGTGTCAAAACTAGGGACACATGCAATGCTAGGTTGATGTCACTACCCTTTTTTGAGCTCTCCCCAACAGAGTCCCAAGCTTTGGCACACGGCAAATCGCATGGCACACGGCCATGCCATGTGCCGTTGCTTCGCGTGCTTCGTCATGATGGGCTGGCTGCGCAAAACAGCCCATGCCCCATCAAAAAGTGATGTCCTACCTTGAGGCGTGCAGAACATACTCTGGATTGAACACAGAAAGTGACATAGCGGTATGTTTCCTCCGACGCATGCGTTGCCACGTATGCCAACAGCGGAGCGCTGGCCAACACTGCCTTCGAGGAGCATGAGCCATCCTTCTTGGTCCTGGCTGATTCTTGCCAAGCTCCAACCCTCCGGTGAAGCTTCAAGCTGCCTCCCAAAGCCTCTTCGGAAATCCACTCCCAAAGCAATTTGGCATAGCTTGCAGGCCGCGGCTTTGTCTTTCCGTTTACCTTCGCGATGTCCACGGCAGGTTGGTCTGTAGTAGAATGCAAATTGACAAACCAGCTGGTGTAAGCCTGCCGGCTGCAATCTACGCTGTCTCCCAAGTGCAATTGGAGTAGCAAGAGCACAGAGGCCCATGGGGCAGACAGCGCGTTCCTCAGCACATGGAACACGCACACGACCTGCTCGCGCCCTCTTCGAAGCGCACTCATCACTTTTGTTGTCTTCATCAGGCACATGTCCTGATGAGCTTTGCAGCAGAACCTAGCAACTTTGCAAAGGCCGCGCAGTTGCCGGTGCGACTTGCAGTCCAGGGCGTCAGCCTGGAGTCCTTGCACATTCTTTTTTGCTGCGGCACTTCCTGAAAGCGCATCTGATCTTCGCGGTCTTGCCCTTTCCCGCCATAGTCGTAGCATGCGCTGCTCCGAAAGCGCGCGCTGCCTTGAGCCAATAGATTTTGAGAAAGGACTTCCCTGAAAGTCTTTGAGCAGCTTTGTGAAAGACAGCGGAAGCCACTTCCCGGAAGCACTTCCAGAAACTCGCCAGATTCAGAAGAGCAAGTTTCGGAGGTTCCGGGTGGCATGTGGTGCAGGCCAGGTAAGTGGTCTCGTGCAGGCCGTGTCAGGTCCAAGCAAGGTTTTGGGGGTGGTCTGGTGCAGACTAGATGTAATAAAGCAATGTAATAAAGCAATGTTTCGCGGTGTGGTGCAGGCCAGATGTAAGACGGAAGGTTCCAGAGGTTCCGGGGGTGGTCTGGTGCAGGCCAGGTGTAAGGTTCAAGAACGGTGTAGGAGGTTGCCGCCGCTGTTGGGGATATCACCTGAGCCTATTTTGATTTCCGGGAGAAGGGAGGGAGGGAGGGAGGGAAGGAGAGGAGGGAGGAGAGGGAGGAGAGGGAGGGAGGGGAAGGGGAGGGAGGGATGGACTTGGGCAAAGCTGCTTCTTTTGGGTCGCAATTTCAATGCTTCCAGTCCAGGTGACATTGTGGTTCGGGCATGGTTTGTGCTGGGAATGTTTTGCTCAACAGTCAATGTACGCACAAAGATTGTGCTGCCAAAATTGGCAAACATGCTTTGAGTGCCCACCTAGACTTGGAGGTCAAGCTCCAAGACCGCCCTTTCCCCGATCACAGACCTCGGTTTTGGCTGGTTTTTTCTCTCCAATTTGTTTGGCAGGGTCAAATGGGTGTGCGGCATGGTTTTGATTCAAGGAATATCAAAGAGAGGGCTCTGTTCTGTTTCTGTTTCCTTCTGGTTCCCATGAAGCCAACCCTGAAAGGGGGCTCTCAACCACTTCACGCACGCATTTGTTCGACCAAACGCCTGCCCCTTTCCCCGTCCCAGGCCAGGCACGTACCCGACAATGGACGAGTCGCCCCTTGTCGGAGCTTGTCGATCTCGCGGGCGGTGCTTAGTATGGGTGCGTTTGCCTTTGCAGGGTACCCCTTTGGGGTTGGTTTAAAGGGAAACCAAGAAGAAACGGACTCCATTTTGGAGGTTCCATATTCTGTTTATGACATATTCACACCAATCTTTGGATCTTGTGGTTGCCTTATATTGATCTAATCGCGTCCCGAAAAAATGGTCCACCCAGATTGAGGTCTTTGGTTGCATAGCCCGTCGAAGCGCCTGATGTCAGGACCTGGGATTTGGTTTCAACCAGCCTCCAAATTCCGTGAGCGTAAATTTCCAAGGTGACAATCCCACAAAGCCAGATGGTTTTTCTACTTGGAACAAAGATTCAGAGAAGCTGTTGGCAAAGGGTTTCCCTTTCAGCTACCCCGCAAATTTGGGTACAGCGTCGTCAACAAAACGCACACCCTAGTAGAGATTGTCAATGGCTCCTAGGGAATCTCCTCAAGGGAACAACCGACCCAGGAATAGAAGCCATGACACACATGTGAGCAGCGGCTGTGCACCGTGAGTCTACTTTTCATGTCGGGAGTTTCGTGCAGGGCCGATGTTCTGGTCCGCCATTGTCGGCCGAGGCGCACCAGCAAATACATGGCCGCAACCTTGGATCGCGCGCGGCGAACACCATGGGAGAGATGGCACAATCTCCCATTTGGGTTCAGCTTTCCACATAAAGGGAATTGTGCCATCTGCTTCTAGCCTGCGTGTTGGTTGGGAATGAATCGTTTGTTTCCAGAAAGGCCGTCTTGACCCGGGCGCTGCCAAGCTTTGCACTCCTTAGCTATGTTTTTTCCCTCAACACGGCGCCAATCCGGGGCATGTTTCCTCGCCCCCTTGTTCCCTTTCAACCCCCTTTTAAAATCCTCTTTTTGTCTTGTTCACTGTAACCCACCTTCTTCGCCGTCCTTTTCGTTTTGCACACCCCGTCCATGCAGCCTTTTTCCCGAATTTTTGGCCTTCTTGTTGCCGCCCCGCCCTTCCCACCGGCTTTTTTGTTGCCACCCTGGCCTGGTCGTCCCACCCGTTCTTCGGCCCTCTCCTTCCCCCCCGCCCTTCACCCGACCGCTCGGCTCCACGAGGCGCCGCGGCAGGTGTCCTTCGGCTTCACGAAGCGCGGGGGGCGCGGCGACGGCCGTGGCGCTGAGCCCGGGCCAGGCGCAGCTGGGGCGCCGGCGCCGGCGCTGGCGGCCGGCTGGGCGGGTGAGGTTCTGGATGTTTTTCTGGGGGTTGGGACACCCAAAACTGGGGCGACACATGAGTTTCCCCAGGTCCAGTGAATGTATCCTCTTCAAAAGAGCGAGTTGCTTGTGGCTAACCATATCCTGTTGCCCTTTACGAATCATGGCGCAGGTGAATGGCTGTGTTTGCGAAGGACGAGACAGTGAAAACCAACCGACTTTGAGATGGCAAACTCCCAACAAGGGCCGGGTGTTTTGAAGGGTAAGGGTTTAGACACCCGATATGATTGGAGGGATTTTCACGAGGATCACCCAAATCGTTGAATGGCTCGTTGATCCGTGATGCTGTGCATGTGGAGCCCGGGTTGCATGACAGCTTTGGCATTGGCCCATGGAGCGATTGTTGGCGCCATGTGCTCCTAAGTGCGGACCTTCTGTTGGTTCTGCAGTGTAAGGACTCTCCTCTACATGGGTTTGTCTAAATCAAGCGGAGGCTCCAACAAAAAGGTTGGTTTTTCCTTCGGTTTCCCACTCCAAAAAAAGGCACACCCATATGTTGCACTCAGATCTTTGGATCCAATGGTGGACTTTCGCAGTCCACGGCTCAAGCTCAAGGGTTTGTTGGTGGCAATTCCTCCCATGGGCGTTGCTCAAAATGAGGGGGGGCACCGGGTGGTCATTATCCAGTTGGTTTCCCTGTAAAACAATCCTTCCGGTTGGTTTGCCGGTTGGTTTTCTGGTTGGTTTTCTGGTTAGCTTCCTTTTTCCGATTGGTTTGTTGCGGGCTGAGTTCAACATATTTAGAACCTTACCCACATGGGTGTGTAAAACTAGGACCCTCCAGTATTTGTTCCTTTAGTTTCCTCTTCAAGACTCTACCCCAAAAAGGCGCAAAGGCACACCCATGAAACAGCTTCGGCAGGTGCCCACTCCATCACCAACTTTGAGAGGCGCTTGGAACGGCCTCCCGCTGTTGGTGGAGATGGGTTTGGTTTTGGGAATTCGGGCATTGTTCGTGCAGCCATTGTAAACCCAGAAAAAAGTTCAGACCTCCCATGTTACCCTTTGGGATGGCTAACCTTTGTCCCTTTGCTTGTCAATCTTGAAAACCCAGTACAAAACAGAAGTCTACCGACATGCAATAAAATGATACGAGCTTCTTGCTGCACCTACCCATACTGTGGATGGACGAAATCCTGCACCAAATGAACAACTATCCAATGATGATTCCCCTGTAAGTACCAATAAACAATGGTTTCAACCATGGTGTCAAAGTGGCGCGAATCGGATTTCGTTCATCCACAGTATGGTTTAGCAGAAGCCAATTGAGAGAGCCATGAGGGAGTTCTGACCGTGAGTACAAAGTCACGTGGCCAAATCTACTTCCAGAGTTTCCTGGAGGATACCCCTCGAAACAAAGAGTAAATACAGGACGCTAGATCTATTGGCGGTTCTATCGAGCCATTGCATCATTGAAAGCCATACCAATGTGACAGATCAGAACCCAAAGTCAGTTGGTTTGGGGTACTGCTCATGCAGGACTGGGAAAAAGGTCAACGCAGCCAGGTTGGATAATGAACCGATTTGGTTGAACATCTGAAGGAGTCACACACCGCCAAGGATGGTTAGCGAGTGTAAGCTACCACACTAAAGGTAATTTGGTTTTGGCAATGGACACACCCTTGGGTGGGACATTCCGCCGCAATCTGCGATTAATTTTCTTCCACCATATTTACGCGTACATCCTGGAAACAGTGGGGTCACATATTTCTATTCCATGAAAGCCTTTCAACGAAGGATTTGCAGAATGTGTTTGGCGTTGTCTGGACCTTTCAAGTGCGCTCCTCCTCTGCAACTGATCATTCCCGAGCACAAGTCGTACGACTGTTTTCCTTAGGTGCACATCCATGCTTGCCTGATTCAGCTTCAGTTTCGTTTAGTCTGTTTCGGGGTTGTTGGAAGCTGTCTGAACAATAAAGCCATTAGCTGAAAGATGGTTCATTTTTTCCTACATATATATATATATATACATATATATATACATATATATATATATATAACTCGGGACTTGTTCTGAATGGGTTGGTTCGTTCAGGATGGTTTCTGGACTCCTCCCCCTGCTAAATTATTCGTTCATCACGTTTGCCAATCGCAGCCTGGCACAACCGCGCCGCCGAAGCCAACATCAACTCCCTCGGCAAAATCCGAGGGGAAGAAACAAAGAAATTGACGCCACTCCTGCCATGAGTCGGGGCCCAAACATAATTTATGTATTTGTTTTAAGGCTCTGTTGATGTAGTCTTTGATAGAGAAGCTGAGTGCTTGGGTAGGGAAATATCTGACCACATCGGCCCAGTTGCCTATTGAGAGAGAAAGGGTGCCTTCTTCTTCGAGCATATTCTGAAGCAGTTGAGAATGGTCTCTCCACTATCTTGGGGTTGGCTTCTTGGGTCTGCAGCCAAAGCGTAACTCTTTCAATACCAAACATAGTCTTTGGCAACGCCGCCACATGGAACTCCTCGAATTCAATGGTGTTGTTCTTTTGCCGAGGATGTGTTCAATAATCATCGTTGTCGGCCCCAATTTTCCTCTCCAGATTTCCCACGCAGTGGAATTACAGGCCCTAAGTAACCCGAAGTGCCCCAAAAGGCACCACTCAGCGGGCATGGGTCAAAAACCCGTACCCCCAGTGAACATCCCAATCCCCACTAAAATAGGTTCTAAAATGGTTGGTGCACCTACCCCAAAATGGGATCCCATTGCCAGTTACTTTGTCCACTGACCCCATGTTCAAAAAAAATCCGCTTTCCTTTTGGTTTCCCTTGGAACCAACTTGAATGCCGGGCATTTTTTGGGTGGGGCCTCCAAAAATCGCGGACCCCGGCGCGAGTCACCCCTCTGCCAAACCTCTCGCCAGGTTCCGCTTTGCCGAGCCGGTGCGGCACAGCTTCGGCGGGGCCCCGCGAGGTCGGCCCAACCCCATCAGGCGAGTGCGATCGAGCCACGGAAGCGGTGTGAGCCGCGAGTAAATTGCAATTGGTCTTTTTGGCTCCCTATTCAAACACACACACACACAAACATACACGCACACACACACACACACTGACGCACACAATATATTCGCACACACACACACACCCCCTGTTTTTTCGCCCCGCAAAGGGTTGCCATATCACTGCACCGTCAGGTCAAGCGGCCCAGGGCCGGGAGCCTACGGGATTCAGAAGTCCGCAGACGAGGAGCCGTGCGCCCGGTTCCGTGAAAACCAGCATTTGGAGGATAATTTGAGGATGTCTGGACCTACAAAGGCAAAAGCGTTCACCCCAAAACCAATATGGCTTTTTGGCTTGGTCGCAAAAGGTGACTACCTTCAGGGTGGTTGCAAGAGAGTTTGGATCCGCATGCTTTTGCTTTTCTGGAGATCCCAAGAGCAGGTCGTGGCTTGTAACGCTGTCTTGCGAGGTGTTTGTGCGTGCAGTTGTCCCATTTGCGCCGCGGTTGGATATTTGGCCACAAGGCAATGTCGATCCGCCTTTGCATCCATAGCAGGCAGCACAGACTCATCATAGTTGTGGCTTGCCTTTGCAGGATCATGCAACATGACATGACCAACGGCGACTCTTTTGTCATGATACTGCTTTGACGGGAACGACACGGTCCAATGTCATTCGGGGTTACAATAAATCTGGATTGGCTCACAGACGCATTGTTGATGGCCTAGGTCAAATGCGGGTTGATCAATATTCCTGGCCGCCAAATGACCATGCCTTTGCGAAATATCTTCTTAGTGGTTTCCCAACGAATGGTCATTTCATGTGTACCGGACCTTTCGAGTTTTTCTTTTGTCAAGAGCCTCAGCATTTAAATGCTGGAGGGCTCATCAAAGTAGGATGGTTCAAATGGACACCAACCGTTGAGGCCTCCCATGCCGAGGGCTTTCTATTTCAGGAAAGGGGCAGCTTTGAAGCCGACCAGGAGGGTCCGGCCGTGACGATGGTGGGGAAGCACCGAAAGCGCGGACACCTAGGGCTTTCGAGCAGGGGGCGTTGCCCCTAAACAAACCCACAGGTTTCCCTATATCATTTCCCTTGGGTGGCTGTAGACATCGCCTTTTGGTTGCCAAAATGAAATGAGCTTCCTTGCATGGCAACTGTGGGGATGTTAAGGGTGAAGAATGGGGAGTCTTGTTTGAGATAATTTTGGGTGAACATACTGTGGAGTACAAAATCCTGCACCGGTGGGTAGGTGGTTTCCCGGTATTCGTAGTGTTTCATCCACCCCAGCTGGTGCAGGATTTGGTCAATCCACAGTTCAGTTTGCTTCCAATCATTTACATGTAGAATCAGTCTATTGTTCAAACAGACCCCGAGGGGGAAGAAGACGGGTTCAAGGAACAGGAACCGCAGCACAAGGGCGCTCTTGAGATTGGGCGGCGGGGGAGGCGATTGGATGACGAGAAACGCACTTTTTCCGCTGCTCAGACCATTAAGCTGGTCTTCCAAAGGGGGGTTTAGAGAACGGTGGACATATGTAAAATTTGCTGGTGCTCCCTTGTCGAAGCCAGGAGTTGAAAGGAGACGTGGGATCCTTGAGGTGCGCTTGTTGAACGTGAGAGACGAAATCTCTAGAAACTCCAAGAAGGCCTAAATCCCCCGAGGAACCATTTGTGTGATGCTTATCATATTTATATTTTTAGTCGTAATGTTTGGCAATGTAGGCAAACCTTATCTACGAGGACGCTAAAGAAGCCTAAGAGACCCGAAGCGAGGGAACCCTCAGCAAGGACTCCGCACCCCCTCTTGCACCCATGTCAGTTGGGGTCTCTTTGAACAGCTAGTTAGAATGAGAATGAATAGGTTCGGCTGGTTTCAGTTTGGTTTATCTTGTCCAAAAGGACGCCTCCCAAGTCGTTAAGACATGCGCAAAGTTGGGGGTGTGGCGCCTTAGATGCAGACGACCTGTTGTTTGGTACCCTTTGGGGTTGGCTTAAAGGGACACCAGAATGGGCACCCACTACTTTGCGGTTCCCTATTTTGACATTCCAAAACCGCAGTTGGATAGAATCCTAACTGAATGTTCCTTTGAGCAGTTGGTTAGAAAACCCCAAACCTTTTGGTTAGAGCCTTTGAGCAGTTGTTTAGAATGTTTTCCTTTCCAAAGCCGCAGCCGGAGCTGCAAACCTTTCAACCTAGGCGAGGCGTGCTGAACCACGGGGACCCAGGCGGGCACCGAGGATTTCGGCTGTGCGGAAAAATATTTTATAGAATACTTACAGCAGTTTATTTTTTAATTTATAATATTTTATTATCATGAATATTATTTTTAATATTATCATGAATAATATTATCACTATTAACATTTATTATTATTATTATTAATACCATTAACATTATACTTATTATTATTGATTATTATTATTATTATCTATTTGTATTTTTTTATTTATTATTATTATTATTAATATTATTATTATTATTATTATTATTATTATTATTATTATTATTATTATTATTATTATGACTATTGTTATTATTATTATCATTATTATTCTTATTATTATTATTAATATTATCATAATTATCATAATTATCATTATTATTATTGTTATTGTTATCAGTATTAGTATTGTCGTTATCACTATTATTATCATTATCATTATTATTATCATTGTCACCAAGGGGTTGCTTTGAGGGCCAGCCAAATTCACAGCAGAACAGCGCTTCTTTAAATTTTGTTTGACCGCCTGTTCCTTCCCCTTTCTAAAGCAAGACCCAAAGCATGAACACGCTCCCACCCTAGCTTGCTTTAATGAAGGGAAGCCCTGAAGAAAGGCGATGAGGCTGCAGGGTTTTGATGCTTCCAAAACGAGAAGACACAGCTATGACATGAGACGCTTCAAGGGGACACGGCCTCTTTTTTACCAATGGAGCTTCTGTCCGCCAACCATTTTTGAGAGGTGTGCCAATCATTGAAATTCGTGGCCATTGGGAAGGGCCTTCAGTTTTGACACCTGACGGGCAAACAGCATGAAGCCAGCAATTGACACATTCCCACTCGCATGTTTTGCTTTGCCACGGCGCCTACAAATCCTCACTCAGATAAACATAATGTAAGGTTGCCACGTGGGTAGAGCCAAGTTTAGGTGTCTGGAACCTGCCAGACTTTTAGCCAGCGTTGGGTCGGCCGGTTTTCCGTTTATTTTTGGTATTAGTAACTTGCCATGAAAGTTGGCTAAGAGAAAAGGCATGCGTTGCCTCTTGAACAGCTGCATGTTCCAACGGATCCGTTGATCCGCTGATGGAGCAATGGCATGTCGCATCACTCGCATGTGCAGGCTTGTCGTCGCGTAATCCTTCCTTACCTCAATATTCTTTAGCCCCATTCGATCGGGCTTCCAAGTATTCGCCGGCATTATGATTATGAGAAAGACGGGTTTCGTTTCGTTGCCTTTTGGGATCGGGTTTCAACGGTCTGGCTTGTCATCTTTTTACATGGCTTATCGAAGGGCGGACCGCTTCCTGGATCTTGTCCAGATGTTTTTCATGCAAAAATCCTGCTTGATAGTCATTAGCCAAAGAAGCGGTGGTCTCAACTTCACCCCACGCTAGAGTCTATGTCCGGGCATGTGCGGAAGACAGAACTGCCAAAGCTGTTTGGTGTCCGTTTGGTTTCCTTTGACATACCATCCAAAAAGGGATGCCCAGTTGAAGGCAAGAACGCAACTCCGGGTACCTGCCTACTTGTGCTGCGTTTGTGGGAGGAAGGGTTCACCAACTTGGAACCTGTCTATCTGACTGACTGACTGAGGGGTCCTGGATGACTTTATTCCTTCAGAAGGATCATTTCTCCGGGGTCTATGCCAGTGGACTGCAGGGTTGGAAAGCCAAACGGATTTTTCTTCCACGAGAGGACCTGGCGCCTACGATCCCTCCACGGAGCCTCGGATGAAGGGGGGTGAAGGCGACGGTCCTTAGCGGACGTTAAGGGAAGCCTCGGCTCAAAGGGGCAGTCCTCCCCCCGCAGTACACGTGTATTGCAGGCCGTGGCCTTTTTTTTGCCTCCTCCCCGTGCTTTTGGGGTAATTATTCTCCATGGTAGCGGGTTTCTTGACGAATTTCACTTCAGGGATCCGAGATCCTTGAAGTGAAGACTTGGTGGGAAGACTTAGGGGGAGGATGCATAGGTGTCCTTCGAGATGGGTTTGGTTGAGCATCAATGGGCTCGGGTTGGCATGTTCATTCAGGGACATTAGAGAACTCCACTGGGGTTCCAAAGAATGATTTCCTCCCGATGGATATTGTTTCAACACATGGCCACCTTCGTGGTTCACATTGCCAGCAAGGCATCCCGTCACATCCGTTGCCAACTTCAAGGCTGTATGTTTACTTGTTTAGTGTCGATTTTGAAAGGTGCTCTAACAGTCCCCATTTTGGAAGACCCCTCAGTGGCAGCGGTCAAACAGTGCGAACATCTTGTGTTAGCGGTCAAGGGACCAACGCAATGCATATTCTTTGAATGTAGCCATATGGCAGATATATGGCTGTGATTGTTGATAGGGAACCACCTCCGGTGGTTAGTGAACATGAACCCCCACCTAAATGATGTCCACCAAAGAGTCCCCTATCGAAATTCATACCCATCTAAGTCATACATCTCTTTTCAGATCGAAGTCATATATATATATATATTTTCCAGTTGAGGGCGTGGCTTTGGGGATAGCCCTGGTACCAGCCAGGATTCCTCAGGGATCAAACCTGTGACCGGTGGTATTTGCGGGCTTCCAAACGTGGGCACAAGGGAGCCTTTCCACAATGAAGTGCATTTGTGTTTGCAGCAAACATTGGTCTACAAATTGAAAGTATAAATGCTTCTCTTGGGAAGCTACATATATATATATATATATATATATGTATATGCATATATATATATGCATAAACAATATATATATATATATATATATATGTACATAAATATATGTATATATGTATATATGTATATATATGTATATATATATATATGCGTATATGTATATATGTATGTATGTATATATGTATATATGTATATATGTATATATGTATATATGTATATATGTATTCACATGTATGTACACATGTCATGTATATACATGTATCACAAAATGCGAATGATATTTATTTCTCTCTCTCTCTCTCTATATATATATATGTTTATTTGCGTATGCACAGACACACATATGTATGTATTTGCCTACAACACATGTATACATGCGTCCATGCGGTATGCTCCGGGCTACCTGGCTACGTCGACATGGGGCGGTTGCTTTGAGGTGCTCTGCGACGCCTCGGTGCCCTCGATCGGCTTCGCCACGGCGCTGCGGAAGGAGCCGTGGGTTGGGGGAGGTGGGGTGGGGGCTTTCGGTGGCCGAAGGGGTGGAAGGGGCGGGGGTGGGGTTCCCCCATTGCGTTGTCTTTTTCCTTTTTCCGGTATTTTTGACCCCCAAATGTTGGGTTAATTGGGGGGGGTTCCTCTTTTCTTTTTGCGGGTAATGTGATTTTTGTGTTGCGCTCGTTGGTGAATAGGGTTTTGGTTTCTGGTAATTTTGACCCCGATGAATCCTTGGTCAGTGGTTTGGATTGGTAGTTTGGAAGTTTGAGTTCGATTCATATCCAAAACACGGTTTGATGGTCTTCCCCGTTGAACAACCTTTTTTTTTGAAGGGAACACCCCCACAGTCGCTGTTGTAAAACCACCCCATTTTAGAGGGAACAACACCATGAAGTCATGTTTTTTTTTTTCCGCCCGGGGGAGGGGGGGGTCCATGAATCCGGAAGCTTTTAAAAATGGGATTTGGACGCCCTTTCGGTGGGTGTCCCCGTACCCAAAGGACACCAACTGCTTTGGGGCAGTGTTTTGAACCCCCATCGGATGGGGACTTACCTCACCGATCCGCAAAGCGCGCTCAAGGTCGCAGAAACCTGCGTGCCTCATATCCCGTCGAATCGGAGAAAGTTCGCCCATGGTTGTGGCAAATCCGGCTTTTGGTTGCCACTCCAAGGGAAGCCCCCCTCAAAGTGAGATTTTGGTTGTCGTGGACATGACCCATATTCGCATCGCAGATGTCGTGGAAGCTTCAAGGCCCGAAAGGAAATCAGTTTTTGACCAGTTGGAGACTTGATGATACCGGGTGCGACACAAACGCTCAAATCCTAGAATTCGCGTGCACACCAGGCGGTGGACCCTGTTCCAACTTCAATGTACGCGCTCCTTCTCAACAAGCCCTGCGGAAACAAACACAGCCCATGGTTTCTGATGTCACGCGCTCATGAGCAACATTGACGTTGGGGGCCAGGTATGTAGGGAAGATAGTTGAGCAAATGCAGCGCGTTGATTGCTGAACCCGGGAAGCCCCTTCTCCCTGTTCAGAGGTTTATCGGGCATGGCCACGATTGGTTGTGACCTCCATTGTGCTTTTGGGGCGACGTTTCGAAGTTATTTCTTCTTAGCTGACCACCTTGTGTGATGCCATGGATTTCTGTTTGAGTGAATCCTTCATCATTGAGAAATCCTTTCTTCACAAGCAGACTAATTGAGCGTTGGCACCTGCCTGCACAACCTCAATATTAGTATCTTGTTTTACCTGCTCACTTTGGCATACTTGTTCAATTCTGTTCCTCCAGGGAGCTGGACGCAGACGACCCAACTTGGATCCGACTACCAGACAAGTGCTCATATAACGGTCAATGTGATAGTGCGGCTTGTGTATGTCCATTTTCAGTTGATGGATGCGGAGTGGAACAGCCTCCTGAAACTGGACATAGCAGCAGCACGCATTATGTATAAATATATATATATATACACATATGTGTATATACATACATGTATATAGACATACACACGAATGCATACATTTTCATTGTTGCCCGCGCTATGTCCTCCAAACTCCCAGTTCAGCGAGTCCGTGCTGCCAGCTGGGGAAAGCCAACCATGCTCTGAAAAAATCGCTCCTTGGGGCCGTTCTCGCGGTTCAGGACTTCTACCCCAAGGAAGAGCAGATCCCAGCGTGGGGCGCCCAAAGCGGAAAGGAGAGGAGCCTCTTTTTGGCGGGTCTGAGAGGCGACGACTTCGGGGGTGTCGTGTCCAGCTGGGATGGCTTCAGCCAACACCCAACCCAACCCAAAGGGAAACCAAGAAGGGAAACCAAGAAGTCACCCTCCCAACATGGAGCCGAGAAACAGCCGCTTCTGGAGGACGATGGCCAGCAGGCTTCCCAAAGTCAGGTTCCATGTTGACAGGTTCCAAGCGCCCTGAGAAGCTCTTGAGCAGGTTCCAAGAAGCTTCCTTGCGGTTCGGGCGGGGCCGCCTTGGTGGTTTTTGTATCGCTATGATTTGGGTGTTTAGGGCCCATTTGGATGGTAGGGAAACCACCGGGTTTTCAGCTGGACTGGATTCCTTGAATTTGCAGTGCCAGACAGGCTTTCTTCCGTGCTCCCTATCACCAAACAACACATCAGCAACTTGTTTGCAGCGTCGGATCCGTCTAGCCAAGGTAAGAACACCCCAAATTTATCGGTTTGGCCTGGCCATTTGAAGGGCGAATTGGGTCTTAGGCGAATCCTTGACGTCTTCAATGTCCAAACATGGCACACAGGTGAACACATCTGATTTGGGTCTGTCTCCAAATGAGAAAACCCAAAATAGGAAAGGCGTCCCCTTATGTTCCCCTCAGAACAAGTCAGGCAGGGAACCCCCCAAAATGGACGCCACCCATAGCACGTTTAGAGGAGCTGACCGGAGCACGTGTTGCATACCATTCGATCTTTTGAAAGGCTGAGGCTGGTTGTCGGATCAACATCCCGCAAAACTTTTGGGGGGTCCTCGATCGTTTATCAGGGGTGCGAGTTGCGATTGGGGCAAGTTTTGCTCATCGCACAGGAAACAAACACCATGAGTATGATTTGTTTGCTGATATGTCAGGAAACTCATTTGGTGAAACAGGATTTTGGTGTGTATCTTGAAAAGACTGCCTGATGGCCAAGAGAGCCGGTTGCTTGTCAGGTTTGATGGCTGACGTACTTGAGAACATTTCCAATCAACGGCCCCTCGTACGGATGCAGGAGTCAGGTTCGTGGAAGCCTTATGCCATCCAAACAGCCAACCACGCCGCTACTTGTTTGAGAAGGGAATACCCATGCACCGAAGCCATCCTAAGTTCAGGCGTGGGCAGTTCAAAGAGAAAGGGCAGCCAATTTGAGACCCCGGCGCCATTTCTGTGCTGCCACCCTTCTTAGGTTCAATTCTTTCCTGTGGTGTGCTAATATGCAGCAGAGTGGGTGTTCTTTGGGCGTGTGGTTAAAAGGAAAAGCACAAGGAACACCACACATTTTGGGGACTTGCCATTTTGAGATCAACCTACCCAAACAGATTGATATAGCACAAATACACTGAACTGCCCCCTCCATATACACTAGGGTGCTACAAACTGCTAGTATTGAATTAGTATTGCAAAAGACAACCATTCGTACTGCTAATAGGAATTGGCTGACAACTAATACTGTCAATAGGCTAATGTTAGGGGTCAATGGGTTGTCTTTTTTACACCACTGGGTTAGTTTTAGCGGCCAGGAGGGTGTTTCGGGACATATGGTCCTTTTTGCCAGTCTGACCATCAATTTTAGGTGAGTTTCTTCTTGGGCCGATTTTGCAGGTGGAAATAATTACCCAGTTGCCCAAAGCCAATCTTTTGACATGTTGGTTTTTCCGTTTTGGCCCATATTCAGTCAAGGATCCAAGAGGTGATGACCTTCATCTCGGGAACTTGGGAATAAACCCACGGGTCCCCTTAAAGGACACCACAAGGGATGGTTCATAGACGTCATTCCATGTCTCATTCCCTGCATCTCGAGCACCGATCGCAAGTTATTTCCAGAGACGCTTCAGGCCTGGGACCTATGAGGTGCATGGCGCTGATCCCTTGGCCAGTGTCGGGGCCCTCTTTGGGTCCTTTCGGGGACTGCGGGGGGGGGGGGGGGGCTGGGGTGGGGCAGGGAAGTTCGCATCCACTTCTTCTGGTTGAAATTCCGAATCCAGAATCCAATGACAGAGGAGACCCCCTGCGTGTGATTCCTTCTTGCTGGAGTCAACCCAAGTTTGCGCAAGCAGTGGTGCTCAAGCTGAAAGGTTTTCTGGGTGTTCCAACAAAGGCAGGAGACCACAAGCAATGCCTTTTCGGCTTTGATTCGGGCTCCCTTCGCACTGCAACTTAGGGGCGCCAGGCAGATACTTCCTTGAGATTCTTGGAAGGCAGAATGCTCCATGCCGTCGGAAGGTTCGGAGTCTAGCATCTCACACAGCGAGTTTGCACAGCTGCCTTGATCAAGCAGCAAGGATCTCCAAGGAATCTCGAATTCGAGGTCTCAAACGAATCTTTTCCCTCGGCAAAGAGCTCGGCTTGACCAATGATCGAACCCAAAGTTGACCCCTGGGGCAGCAAACAGCCACGGGCCCCATGGCAGGGTCCGAAAGTGCAAACGGATCCTGAAGAGGATCCAAACCTGGGCGTGGTGTTTGGTGGACATCGACTCGAGCGAGTTCTTAGGCAGGAGATCAACCGCAAGTCCTTTGGCAGATTGGCCGGAACATGAAGATGAATCAGTGATCCGTCAGTGTTCCATACGGCACAAGGGAAACTCTGGCCAGAAACTCCCAAGTTGGATCTTCGAGCAAGTCTTCTCATTTGTTTTTGTTAAGCCACAGTTGCGCTTCACTCATAAGTCATCCTTCCAAGCAGCAATATTTAGGTGGACGTTCGACTCGGGTGGAGCGTCATACTAAACTTCACACCCCAGGGTTTCAGACCTTTCAGAAATTTGGTGTGTTTGGGGGATCTAGAAAAACGAAAAGTTATGTTGACTACCAACATGGGGGCGACTTGGCAGCGTGCTTTGATGGCTCATGTGAGGAGAAGTGACCTCTCGAAGAGCTTGAGAAAACATTGCATTTTGGACAGGGCACGTGTCAAGAACCAAGGGACTGTTTGTAGGGCTTCAAAATGAAACCAACCATTTAGCAGCCCCAGCTTTGGCACGCAGCCATGACATTTGCTCGCATGGGATTGTGATACGCTTCAAAGTAGCGAACCGGGGTTTTGAAGAATCAACCTCCATGTTGCATCTCCAAATCCATTTCTTGACCGCTGGATCCCAAAAAGGTGGCTGGTTATGCTGGTTCCCCTGAAAGCCCCCCCAAGTGCACAGTGAAGTGGATGCAACTCCAAGCCATGTGGCTGCTCAAAACACTTGTCTGGCACCTTGGTTTATGGAGAGAAAGAAAAAGAACCTGCGGCTTTGACCCAGCGGTTTAACTTTGAGCCACCTTAGCTGGAACTGCCATTCACACCTCCGAGCCACGAGAGCCCAGGATAACCTGGGCTTCTCGCTGGTCGGCAAGCGGAGGCCCGCGCTGTTCAGCGAAGCGGCGCTTGGCTCCTCTTTTGCGCACGTGCGAGCGTGTAGCAAAGGGTTGGGGGGGGGAGGGGAAGGGGCTTGTGGCGAAAGGGGATTCAGAGAAGAGGTTTTCGAGTTGAGTTACGTTTTGGGGGCACGAACCGTTTTCGGGGTTCAAAAGGATGCCAAGAAGTACTTTGATTTGGAGACACACCCACATTCGACCAAAAAGGACGTACCTTTGGCCTCCTTTTGTCGAGAACACGGAGGGACCGTCTTGAAAGTCAAGACCCCCTTTTCCTGCAGTTCCTCCGAAGAAGTCAAAGAAACGGATCAAAAGGTGGAACCTGGGTGCGATTTCATCAGTTGAACGGGAAGCCTGAAAGAAAGTCGGGTGCCCCTATGACACATGCCCGAATGATGCTTGTCATATATGACCTGCTCGATGTTTGTAGTGCCGGCGATGATATGTTAGTTTCAGCTGGTGCTGTGTTGGTAGTCTGATGCGCCCTGTTGGCCAGATTATTTTCTGGTGAACCGCCTGATGCTGGCGATGCAGCCTTTGTTGCTGTGAAAGTTGAGCGTTTCAGCTGGTGCTGTGTTGGTAAGTCTGATGCGCCCTGTTGGCCAGATTATTTTCTGGTGAACCGCCTGATGCTGGCGATGCAGCCTTTGCTGCTGTGAAAGTTGAGCGTGTTGACAGGCCCTTGGGATGGCTGACTTGTTGATGTCGTGAAGCATGTGACCACTTGTCAATTTGAAGATTATCTCGACTCCGGAGTAACGCGTGCCTTGAAATTTTAGTCCGTGCAGAATTTGGCTTGCACTCGTCAGAGGGAGGCTCCGAAATAGCAAACCTACCGAGCCGAGATCTATGATGTTTTCCACAACCCCCAAGCCACTACACGAGCATTGCGTAAGGGGTGATGTACCCCAACTTGCATTTGGGGGTACTGTCCGTGGAACAAATCCTGCACCAGTTGAGATGGACGAGCGGTGAATAATGAGACAAACCACACCTATCCACTGGTGCCGGAATTTCGTTTGTCCACAGTGGTTTGGCAATTTGTGTCTTTCCCCCCAAATTCATGTGAAACATGGGTTTCTCGTAGGCATATGTGTTTTGTTTTTATTTGCCCGAACATGGCCATTTCAATTTGCCATGTGACTTGCAAGGTACCCGTTTGACGAGTACTGTACCGTTCTTTTCATGACTCCAAGATTGGCAGTTGTTTGTAATCCAGCGACGATCCTTCAGCATATTAGGCAGTTATCAAGTCCCTTGGTGCCTTGAACTGTCATCTTCCATCATGCAGCCAGACAATTGTGGCTGTGCTGAATTGTTGAACACATGGCTATTGTGGTATGTGTGGTATCACGAGTGATTGTGGCCTTATTGCGGTTTCATTGTGATATTATTGTGGCATTGATGCAGTATTATGGTCCTATTCTCGTGGTATCAGCAGTTGTGGTATTGTTTGGCCGTATGAATCTACCAATCCCTGACATCTCCAAGACCCAACAACTCTTCCACAGCGCCCGTGAGATCGCGAGATCGCTAGGCGCCACGACCTCACGGCGCACCTCTACGCGGGGCCCGGGGGCCTCAGAATTGCGAGGGGCAGCCACCCCAAACACAGCGATGCGAGTTTGGGTCTGTCTGACTAGCGCTCGGAAGGGAGCGGTCATACAAATGGCTCCCCAAACCTTTCCGATCCGGTTTTACTTGTGGTTGGAAGGGAGCTACGGAGCTGGGGGTATCCCAATGTGCCTTTAAAGGAGCTAAGGAGCTGCCGGGAGTTCTGTCAGGACATTGTCGTCAAGTCTGCTTGGGGGTGTCAGGTGGGGTTGTGAACTGGGTGGTCTGGAAGCTTCAACACCCAGATGAATATCAATTAAGGTGAAACATGAAGGACACAACAGGTGAATAAACTTGCCGCGGCGGACACTTTGGGGGAAGACTTGTCACTTCTTCCTCGTATTCGCCCGAATCGCAAGCGTTCATAAAGGATCAGCTCTGCATTTAAAGGGTCGGACTTGGGATTGGGTACCGACTTGCTCATGGAAGGACAATCAAAAGGCGGTACTGGATCGGATCGCAAGGGCGCAGACATGTCTGGCACACATCTCTTGAACAGCCAGGAAACCTTGAACTGGCGGTTTGCATGAAGCGGGATTGGATGAGGTTAACTTGGAAGCCACCTTGCCAAGCTCCAAGTCATCAATCCAAGCCAAAGGTTTGGCTTCAACGTGCTGTTTTTGAGGGCACCCTGCTTGTTTCTGGTTAAAGGGAAGGGATACAAATGCACGGAAGATAATGATGATTGCATTGGTGTTTTGGTAGACTTCGCCGAGCTTCTTGCCATGTCTTTCGCACACTTGGCGAACGATGCAGTGACCTGCGCCTGATTTTGCAAGACACACATTGGCCAGAGCAGAAATCCAAGCTGTGCTCGCTCATAGCCAAACAAGCGAGAGATATCCATTATTCCGAAGTGCAAACCGTGTCCTTTTGGGCGGGTGTCCATTCTTGGTTTTGCCAGTCACTCCATGCCTCATCAAGTCAAAGCAATGAAACTCATGGCGCCACACGCCCAGGCAGCTTGAAATGATTTGACTGCACCAAAGCCATTGTCATCTTCCCTCTGGATAGTTTGGATGGCAGATCGGGTCCTGATGCGAAACAGTTTCCCTTGAAGCCCGCTGAAAAAAGGTACCAAGCCTGCCAACCTATCAACCTACCAGGCCCAAGTCACCAGTTCGGGGTACTTGGATGGGTTTTCTGATTTCACTCTCAGCAACCCGCAGCTTTGTCCCCCCCCAATCTTGCCCTCACTTCACCCGGCCGTCATTTACCCCCCGTGGAACTTCCCAAGCAACCAACAGATGCCACCCCCCCTCATCCAGCCACCTCAACCCAGCGGTGCACCCCTAGGCTTCCCCCAAACACTTCGGATCCGAGGCCCGGCCCGGGCTTCTACAGCCACGGCTCCAGCTTCGGGTATCAGACCACCTGGCACGTGCCGAAGTGAGGCACTCGCTCGCCCGAGGCGACCTCGGGGCACGTTTGCGCGTAGAAACTGTCCAGCTGCCTGGAGGCACGGGCTGCTGACAGGCCGGAGGCCACTTGCGATTTGCGAAGTTTGGCCAGAAAGTCTCACAGAAGTCTCTTGTTGCAGCATGTTCGGGCATGTCTCGTCATGTGAGAGGTGAGTGCCTTATGTCCAGGTCACCCAAAGCAATCGCATCCCTTGGTTTCACCATGCTCTGCACATTCAACGTCGGCGCTGAACACAACTTCAGTGCAACAGCGCTACTTGGCTCCGCGGGGCAATGGCACCTGAGTCAGAGATGCAAAATATGGAGCAACGTTGGCTTAGATGGGGTTTTAATGGTATCCTGAAGCACTCGTTTTTGATCCCTCTGTTTTTGCGACAGATTTTTTTTTGTTTTTGTGGGGACTCGACAACCCGCGGGGGCAAATGGTGCTGGGAAGCAAGGTTGGGCCGAGCCCTTGTTCAAACATGTCTAAAACCGCCAGCGGTTTTGAAACGTTGCTTGGTTTCCTTCTCAAGGGCGTGTCCGCTTTTTGGGGACCTCCAAGATAAGATGGTGTCTTTCCTGTTAGTTGCCCTTTAACACGACCAAAAAAGGGTACCCTCAAAAAAGATACCCCCCCAACATTACCAATGTCTGGTTGTTTGAACACAGCTTGTCCGACCTCGCGACGGGAATTTGGCCGCGCCGTTTGCTCGGCTAAACCGGAATTTGCACCGCCTTGAATGGCTTGCGCCAGGCCTAGCGGGGGCTTCTGACAGTACCCTCTTTCAAACAATCATGGATATGGCACGATTTCGGTTTTAACGACACCAAGAAACGGGCACCCTCAAGAAAAGACACAACAAGATACACCTATATCATATGGTCAGTGCATCCTCTTGAAAAGCCCCTGTTCCACTTCCGCGATTCTTGGAAAGAGTATAAACTGATGTCTGTGTAGCACCCTGGAATCAACACACGTCTGTTTCAAAGCCCTGCGCGTCTTGCGCCACGGGAGTGCACGTCCAATGCCCAAGACCAACCTCCAGGACCGCGTGTTGTCTTTTGGATCCCAGGGGCTTGTGTTTCCAAGCCATTCGATTTTCCGAGCTCGTGATTCTCAAAGCTGGAAATTCAGCACCGCAAAAGCGGCATGCCAGAGGGAAAGAGATCCTTTCAAGCAGAAAACGAGCGCGCACGACACTGGAATCAAGGGGCCTTGCAAATTCAGAAGGCGGCAGCCACACGTGCAGCACCGATGTGCTGACACTTGACACAGTTTTTTGAATTCGAGACAATGCGCGACACGAGGCATGTCATCAACTGATTGTGTATTAAGACTGCGGCAGTAGACATTTGTATAGCCTGGCGGTTCCGACAGGTAGTGAGCGGTCTTGAGCACTCCCCTCTGCCTTTGCCGCAGTTCAGGCTCCGGGGCACATGGCCACCGAATGACAGGCTTTGAGTTTTAGAAGCAAGCCTCAAACAAAAACACACATACACACACACACACAACTTGCTTGTTAAAGTTCTTTGGTCCCCATGACGATTGCCATGGATTGCACGGCAGGGATCCAAAGAAGCAAGTCAGAAAAGCCATTGTATTTTTGGCGGACATTGCAAATGGCTCTGGAACAGGCGGCGAAGCATGTTTCAAGCTCTACTTGGTGTTTAGACTTCATTTGTTGGCTGAGTTTAACAGGAGCTTACTCCAGATAAGGGCCCAGCTAACCACTAGCCAGCCACACACCCAACAGCTTGTAGCCACGCAGATCACTTGCGCGTCGCGGGTGCTCATGGCTTTTGATTCCCATGTCGCAGCCGGAGGCGGGCAACGAGTGGATCGGGACCGAACCCCTACGGTGGGGATCCCCTACTCGGGGACTCCTTGGCCGCCGCATGCTTTGGCAGGGTACACCGGTACACCCAGTCCCGCTGGGAACGGAGGTTGTAGCCCCATGTCAGAAGCAAACCGAGTCTTGTACAAAGTTCATTCTTGGGATTGGGGGCTGGGCCAACCCCCAATCCCCAAGAATGAACTTTGTAAATGACTGTCTACCTGTTTGTCTGACAAGGGACCAGAGCATGCTGCTTCTCAGGCAATGGGCTTAGGGGTTTGGGACGCTCCAGTTGATGGGGAATGAGCCAGTTGACCGATCAAGGCCTGGAAGCTTCCGGAGGCAATGCCCTTGCCGTAGCGCCAGCCTTTCGGTGGAAGATTCCCCATCTCTAGAACATGTATTGCATCAGAACCCTATACCTAGTACCTGATCTACAGTAGATTATTACCACATGGGCATCATATTAGGCATCCATTTCCTCACAGAAGCGGCAAGGCTCAAACCTTCAAACCTCTGCCAAGGGACAAAAGGCACCAATTCACTGGGTACGTGGTTGAAGTATGTGAGCCTGGCCGGCCCATTTTGGTCGTAAGGTCCAAGGTTCTCATGCAGCTGTCGAGCAATCATGCGCTTGGCTGAGCAATCAATTGCTTTGGCGTTTCTGGTTGGATTCTTCTTGGACCTGTAGAGTTGGAAAAGCTGCCAGATAATTGGTAAAAGCACCGAGCAATAACACCTAGTTTTGCCGGTCGTCTCCCAAGAAAAGGCGAAGGTCCAAGACCCAAAAAGGACTTGTGTTCCATGTTTCTCCCTTGAAGCTATTCCAAGCCTCCATCATCTTTTCCACTTGTTTCCAATGTTTTCCCCCATTTTGAAGACAATCCAACCTCCATCTTGTGTGCAGCATGTTTCCACTGTTTTCCATTTTGAAGTTATTCCAAGCCCCACAAAGACTTGCTGGTGCTCAGCAGGTCGTTCCATTTCTCCTGCCCTGCTTAAAGTTGGGCGATCGGGTACTTAAGTAGTAAGCCTGGTTATAACCCACGCAGACTTGTAACCATGGCTTTTGTGGGTTACAACCATGGTTATTACCCACTTACTAAGTATCCTGCCCCTGTAAGTAGGGAATGAGAAATGGAACGAACCGTTTTGGGATTCCAACTTAAAGAACCCACCACTTGCATGGTTGATACGGTCATTCGATGCAACTCCTTCATCCAACTGGTTTCTTTCAGGGTCATTCCAACTCATTCCTCCAAGTGGTGGTTTCCCAAAAAGTTGGACTCCCCCAAAAAACATTCCATGTCTCACTCCCTGAGCACCGGGCCCACGGGGCCCACGGGTCGGCCCTCAGCTGCTGGTGGTGGGCGGCGGCCTCAGCGGCCTCTGCTGCGCCCTGGCCGCCGCCCGCGATAGGAACGGAACCCGCCGGGTGCGGCTCTTCGAGGCGCGGCGTTGGGAGATGGGGGTAAGGCGGTTGAAAGGGCGATGGGGAGGGACCCAGGATGGACCAACTGGGTGATCTGGGTATGGGTCCAAATTAGACCAGGAATTGGACCGCATATTTTTTAGCCTTTGTTTTTCCATTTGCCACGGTTCCATGGATTCCATGTTGGGTACCGATTTTTGTTGACCCACGCCCAAGTAGGGATCCTTTTCCCCCCTCCCATCCCCGCCACAATGAAAAGGAAGATGTTCATGGTATCACGGGAATCATCCCTTTCATCCCACAGCCTTGGGGTCCCTGTTGGGACGTTTGGTTGGGACGGATGAACTACCTCTGGACATGTGACGTCACCTTTTAACAGCATTTTGAAGGGCACCAGGAAAACCAACGCAACTTATTGTCTTTGTTTGGTTTCCGAGTCATTATCTTTTTCCCTACCAGTGAAACTAGTCACCTGCTGAGGAGGTTTGGATGTGTGTTTGCCGTGGGGCGGGTCAGCATTTGTCTTTTGCAGTATGTGGTTTCTGCCTTTCGTCACAAGACACGCAGAAGCAGCCCAAGCAGAAATGTGCCCTTTTCTGCAGGGTTCCTAGGATCAGGGCTCCTTGAATGGGTTTGTCTCTAAATGGGATATGAGCTGCCCGATTTGGCTTTTTCCCTAGCACCCGGCAAAATGGCGCTTAGGTTCCCCGTTGTGAGGGTCCAAGATCACAAGCCTTGCTAAGGTGGTGCAGCAACCGTTTTTGCGCGTGGCCGGGGCTAGGGATACTTGCATGTCTGCACCAAAGAACTTGCCTCACAAGTTTGGAGTTGGGTGATGTGCGACACATAGCTTGGGTGTGAGACAAAGAATGCCACGCGATATGTTTTGCCTGGAGTCACCATGGGTTCATAGCCCAGACGGTCCGACAAAAATACGTAGCCTAAAGTTGTCGGGTTTTCTTTTGGTGGCTTGGCTTCTATGAGGGACACAAGCTGGGAGATCCTTTTTTTGGGGTCCTAAATCCGACCCCTTCCGGAAGAGGTCCAGATCATTTAACCCCAAAATGAGAAAATGATGGTGGTCTCTGACGCGTGGGGAAAGGGAATGGGCAATCAACCCTTAGGTCGGCCCCTCAATTTCAGAAGGAGAGAGCCCCCCTCAATTTGAGAGGTCATTCTTATCTAAATCACTCGAGGAAGCCCAAGAAACCAAACTACCCCAACCCATTGGTCTAAAGACGAGTACCACTAAAGCCAAGATAAACAGGTGTGTATGCATATATGTACGTATGTATATATATATATATATATATGTATATACATATATATATATATATATACACATTACGCATCCGTACACACCCAAGTTTGCTGTTTGCATAGTTGCGTCTTTCTTTGAGGGCACCATTTTTCGGGGTGGGTTTCTATCAAAACAACCCAAAACCCATCGTGGTTCAATGATGAACACCACTACCCCAAGGTTAAGCGATGTATTTGAGGCTGCACACACACACTGCGGTATACTTGATTTTCTGGTATCTGAATTACGCAGTCCCCTGATAATTAGCTTGGAGCCCCAAAGAAAACTCCCCTGCGGGGAGCTTCCTCTACAGATGATGGGTGTTTTGATTTTCATGTTAAACTGCATTCTCCCCTTAGGAAGCACTTTTTACAGCAGGTGGTTGGTATAGCTGCAGCCCCGGAACTCTCTCCTTTTGGTTTCCATGTTGAACGGGAGCCCCATGAGTCTCTCCCCAGCCACCAGAACTCCCCCTCCACCCACAAGTTTCATCGTGGTCATATCAACTGCAGCTGTTTCTCTCCCCACCCACCGGAACTCCCTCTCCACCCACTGGCTGTTGGTTTCGGTATGAAGATCTGGTAAGCGACTGGGTTTCTAGGGGTTGATTCCCCATTCTTTTCAACCATTTCTTTTCAACAACCAGCCGTTTTCCCTGGGATTCCGGAGGTTTTCTAGAAAGATTCGGATCCCTGGAAAGAATGGAAATGGAAGGTACCCTCAGAAATATGCTGTTTCCTTTCTTGGGGAATGCACCACCCCTGGGTTCAAGGTAACCCTGGGGTAGTCAAAAAGTGGAGACTAGGCTACCATTCCTCGAGCCAGAAGACGTCTCTCCCCGTATCAACCGCCCGCAGGCGGAGCGGTGCCTCGCCGGGGAGGGCGGCCGGGCTGAGGCGGACCGCGCGGCGGAGACGCCGCTGCGCCTTCAAAGCAACGGGGGTCCGGTTGAAATCCCAACAAAAGGGGTACAGCTGGGTGAAAGTATATCTGGGTCCCCGAGTAGTGCCCTTTCTCACCCCTTTTTGGGGGAGGGTTCCCCTACTAAGATAGACTACAGAAAAAAGGGCACCCTTATGCTAACCTCTCTACTGGAGGACCTAGACATATGGCGCACTTCCACCCCATGCTGGTCTAGTCGAGATTGATGGGCCAGCTTTGGCAGCACTCACAGCGCTACCTCCCAAAATGATGAGCGCGGAGTACCAACTTGCACACGCACGTCGTACGTGTTGCGCAAACACACAGTGAATGGATGCTTGTAAATTAGTCAAGGCCCGCTAGACATGACATCTACACACATGCTTCCTGGAGAAAATGAGCTAGGGTGAAAGTAGGCACAATTCTAGTTGTGTGGTACTTAAGAAGGGAATGACTGAACCCTCACGGGTTGGCATTGAGTTTGCCATCTTTGGGACTTACTTGGATGTGTGGCCAAGTTAGTAAGTGGTCAGCCACTTGAGGTACAACTCCCTTATAACAAGGTCAACTCCGCATTTAACAAAGGTTAGCAACAACTTACTAACGTGGCCAAACCACTTGCCAACCTAACCAAAATGAAAAACATATCATTTTGGGGGGACCACCAAGAAAGAAACACACCCATCCGGTTGGGGGATTGCTCCCAAAGGCGGCTGTCCCGAGGCGCGCCGAAGGCGACGGGGAGGACGAGACCTCAAAGGAGGCCTTGCGCTGGCTGGAGGAAGTGCTGGGCGAGGAGGGGCAGCGGGGAAGGCTTTCCCCCCTGAAGGCAGTGAGGAGAGATGTTAGCCAAACCGGGAAAACTCGGGCGGAAGCTCCTTGAGCATGAGGTTTCTCTTAAGTGTAAACTCTGAACGTTTTGTTTTGGGAGTTTCAGGGATCCTTTGGCAATTTGGGAGGGAGCAACGAAGCTCACATAGGTGGTCTTGGCGAAAGAAAGGGAACCCCTTTCTGTGGTCAAAAGGAATGCCCAAACAAGAACCCCTTCCAAGAAGGTTCAAACCCTTCCTTCATGTGGGTGGATTGTTGCGCGAGCCCTCAAACTTCCCGCAGGAGCTGCAGGACAGTGACGAATCCTCGACCCCAGTGGGTGTGGAGGCCGCGCCCCCGAGAGTTATACTCATATTCCCGTTTTTGGAAGGGTCAAACATTGCAGTTGCACGGGCATCTCAAGGCAGTCTCAAGGGATTTCCATGGGTTGGGGTGGGAAATGTCACGAAGCCATGACCCAGGAAAGTTGTTTGGCGCCTGTTCGGGCAACCAGCGCCCTTTGCCTTTTGCCCACATGTAGCTGATGTCCGCCAAAGGGTCCATTTCCAAGACGAAAACATGGCACTGGCCACAAAACGCGAGGTGTTTGGGCACCCGGCTTTGCTGTAAGCTTCCGACGGCGCTCGCCAGACCAAAGGCTTTCCTAAGACGTTTGTTTTCAACCGATGTCCTCCTTGAGCTAAGTGCCATCCAGGGACCGTGGACATGGAACCAGCACACCTGCCAAGGCTTGTGCTCAAAAATGGCCCTTCAACCCGCAGTGTGACCATTCAACCAGCGAACATTCATGATTGTTTGCCGTGATGTCCCTTTTCAAACAGCAAAACGGGGCAGCTGGTTGGTTGGTTGGTTGGTTGGTTGGTTGGTTGGTTGGTTGGTTGGTTGGTTGGTTGGTTGGTTGGTTGGTTGGTTGGTTGGTTGGTGGGTGGGTGGGTGGGTGGGTGGGTGGGTGGGTGGGTGGGTTGGTTGGTTGGTTGGTTGGTTGTTGGCTGGTTGGTTGGTTGGTTGGTTGGTTGGTTGGTTGCCTCGTTGCCTCGTTGCCTCGTTGCCTCGTTGCCTCGTTGCCTCGTTGCCTCGTTGCCTCGTTGCCTTGTTGGTTGGTTGGTTGGTTGGTTGGTTGGTTGGTTGGTTGGTTGGTTGGTTGGTTGGTGGGTGGGTGGGTGGGTGGGTGGGTGGGTGGGTGGGTGGGTTGGTTGGTTGGTTGGTTTGTTGGCTGGTTGGTTGGTTGGTTGGTTGGTTGGTTGGTTGGTTGGTTTGTTGGTTGCCTCGTTGCCTCGTTGCCTCGTTGCCTCGTTGCCTCGTTGCCTCGTTGCCTCGTTGCCTCGTTGCCTTGTTGGTTGGTTGGTTGGTTGGTTGGTTGGTTGGTTGGTTGGTTGGTTGGTTGGTTGGTTGGTTGGTTGGTTGGTTGGTTGGTTGGTTGGTTGGTTGGTTGGTTGGTTGGTTGGTTGGTTGGTTGGTTGGTTGGTTGGTTGGTTGGTTGGTTGGTTGGTTGGTTGGTTGGTTGGTTGCCTGGTTTGGTTGCCTGGTTTGGTTGCCCTGTTGGTTGCCTGGTTGGTTGGTTGGTTGGTTGGTTGGTTGGTTGGTTGCTTGCTTGGTTGGTTGCTTGCTTGCTTGGTTGGTTGGTTGGTTGGTTGGTGGGTTGGGGGGTGGGTTGCGTGGTTGGTGGTTGGTTTTTTCTTTGGGGAGCCGTCAGCTGGTCAGGTTCTGCGGCGCCTGACTTCGCTGGTGCGAAGCCACCCGGAGGTGGAGGTGCTGACAGAGGCGCTGGTCACTAGGCGCGGGAGGGCCACGTATTTTGGTGTCGGGGGAACCCTCTACATGTGTGTTGCCTTTTGAGTCCCCCCAAGAAAGCAGACCCTAAAGTGAAATTGGTTATTGAAATACTTGGTAATGTTGAAAAAGTGTTAAATCATAAATATTTAGTTGATAATGATAAACAAGCCATCATAAAAGTCATTAATATTGGCATCTGAATCAAAAAAGGGTGCCAAAGAAAAGTGGACAGACATTTGTCAAAATAGGCGACCGGGTGCTTGTCCTTTGGATTCGGGCTTGAACAAGGGCGAGCGGGAGCTGGGGGTTGTGGGAGATGGGCGAGGGCGTTGTTGGACCGTGAAACCTGCAGGGGTCATGCTGCTTGCTCCAAAAACTACCCAGAAGAATCAAATAGCCCTGAAATAGCCCTGAAACAGCCCTGGCACACCCAGAAAGCACCATTTCCTTCCCCCACTTGCCCTTACAACACCCCAGCCAGACAGATACGAAGCCCCTGGTTTCACGGGAGCCTGTGGGCCACGTCAAACGCAGGCTGTGGTCCGGCGGCTGCGGCTTTGAGCGCCACGGAGAGGAGCTGAAGGCGGAGGCGCGTTTGGGGGGAAGGAGCTTTGAGGTTGGGTGAAACTCATGGCCAACGTGGTGCTGTCGAAATCCATTCTGCGCCGTGAAATGTATCACGGTACCGTGGATGATCGCGACATCCACTCGCCGCGAAAGAAGCGAAATCCTGGCTTCAACCGTGGGTTTCAAAGAGGCGCGAACGGATTTCGTCCGTCAGTGGGGGCAAGGGCCCAAAGATCGGAACCCCCTCCATGTGGTTTGCCTCCTTTGGTTTCTCTTTGAAAACTGGTTCATAGGAAAGATTTGGGACACGTTTTCTCTTTGGTGCCGTTCAAAAGCCAAGCATGCCAATCCAAAGAGTATTTCGTCATTTTGAGGCAGACCACTGGGTGAAACTCCTCGCTTGGTGTCATCCCCCGTTCTTGCCGACAGAAAGGAAGTTGTTCCAACTTTCACATCGTTTATCTCCAAAAGGCTTTGCGCATGGACAAGTTCCGCGGTTGGGATTGGTGTCCCATAGGGTATCCGGTGGGCAGTAGATTTTGCAATTCATCTCTAGAACTGATGACCCAAGTCACAGGGCAGGCGCCTAGGTTGAAACCTAGTCTGCAGTTCAAACACTAAGAACCACAGCGATGTTTACCCCAAAAGCAGAGAGAGAGAGAGAGAGAGAGAGAGAGTGAGGGACAGAGCCGTTGATAGTATTCGAGTACATGTTGCACACATCACTTTTTCTTCCTCACATTGAGCTTATTTTCATGTGCTGCATTTGTTCTGCAAACAACATGACATGTAATGAGTCCAAAGCAACTATGTTCAATCATACTAGTCGTCACACAAGCGAACACCTTGAGTTGACTACAAACTGTTGTCACGACTAAAGCGCTGTATGCACCTCTCTGGATGCTGATGTTCAACAAGACATGGCTGTGGGCAGCTCAAACGCCGTGACGAGCCTAAACACGAGAGCTGTAGGGCAAAACATGACTTTCACACGGCCATGATCAGTCTACCCAGTTGGGTCCGTGGTGCGCTTTGTTTAAATCATGCCCCACTTTGAAATTATGGGATTTCATTGTTAGTCGGTATTTACAGGAAAACCGAATCATTCCAGCGTTTCTTTTGTGGCGCGAAATGGATCTCGTCCATCCACAGTATGTTGGGAGACATGGCTGTGAGTCAAACATGTGCGCCCAAAATGGAACCCTGGTAAATGGAAACTTTAGAGCCTCCGGCTCAGTCCGCCGACATTGTCCTCTCCCTTTTCTCCTTCTTCCTCTCTCCCTTGTCTCCCTGGTGTGTTCTGTCGTCCTCTCTCCCTCCCTCCGCTCCCCATCCTCCCCATCCCCCCAAGCCACTCTCTCCCCAATCTCCCTCTCTCGTATGTATGTATGTATGTATGTATGTATGTATGTATGTATGTATGTATGTATGTATGTATGTATGTATGTATGTATGTATGTATGTATGTATGTATGTATGTATGTATGTATGTATGTATGTATGTATGTATGTATGTATGTATGTATGTATGTATGTATGTATGTATGTATGTATGTATGTATGTATGTATGTATGTATGTATGTATGTATGTATGTATGTATGTATGTATGTATGTATGTATGTATGTATGTATGTATGTATGTATGTATGTATGTAATGTATGTATGTATGTATGTAATGTAATGTATGTATGTATGTATGTAATGTAATGTAATGTATGTATGTATGTATGTAATGTAATGTAATGTAATGTAATGTAATGTAATGTAATGTAATGTAATGTAATGTAATGTAATGTAATGTAATGTAATGTAATGTAATGTAATGTAATGTATGTATGTATGTATGTATGTATGTATGTATGTATGTATGTATGTATGTATGTATGTAATGTATGTATGTAATGTATGTATGTATGTATGTATGTATGTATGTATGTATGTATGTATGTATGTATGTATGTATGTATGTATGTATGTATGTATGTATGTATGTATGTATGTATGTATGTATGTATGTATGTATGTATGTATGTATGTATGTATGTATGTATGTATGTATGTATGTATGTATGTATGTATGTATGTATGTATGTATGTATGTATGTATGTATGTATGTATGTATGTATGTATGTATGTATGTATGTATGTATGTATGTATGTATGTATGTATGTATGTATGTATGTATATGTATGTAATGTATGTATGTATGTATGTATGTATGTATGTATGTATGTATGTATGTATGTATGTATGTATGTATGTATGTATGTATGTATGTATGTATGTATGTATGTATGTATGTAATGTATGTATGTATGTATGTATGTATGTATGTATGTATGTATGTATGTATGTATGTATGTATATGTATGTATGTATGTATGTATGTATGTATGTATGTATGTATGTATGTATGTATGTATGTATGTATGTATGTATGTATGTATGTATGTATGTATGTATGTATGTATGTATGTATGTATGTATGTATGTATGTATGTATGTAATGTATGTATGTATGTATGTATGTAATGTATGTATGTATGTATGTATGTATGTATGTATGTATGTATGTATGTATGTATGTATGTATGTATGTATGTATGTATGTATGTATGTATGTATGTATGTATGTATGTATGTATGTATGTATGTATGTATGTATGTATGTATGTATGTATGTATGTATGTATGTATGTATGTATGTATGTATGTATGTATGTATGTATGTATGTATGGTATGTATGTATGTATGTATGTATGTATGTATGTATGTATGTATGTATGTATGTATGTATGTATGTAATGTAATGTAATGTAATGTAATGTAATGTAATGTAATGTAATGTAATGTAATGTAATGTAATGTAATGTAATGTAATGTAATGTAATGTAATGTAATGTAATGTAATGTAATGTAATGTAATGTAATGTAATGTAATGTAATGTATGTATGTAATGTGATGTAATTTAAAGTAATGTAAGGTGATGTTGTGTAATGTAATGTATGTATGTATGTCTGTATGTCTGTCTGTATGTATGTCTGTATGTATGTATGTATGTATCCTTGCACTTCCCCTTTGCTCCCCAGTATTTCCCGCAAAAAACACTGTTTTTCCAGCGTTTTCGCAAAGAGGATGTCCAAAAACACAGAGTTTTTCCAGATTTTCGGCAAAAGGATGCAGGAAGCCCAAGCCAGCAAAAAAGCCGGCAGGGGGAATCGAGCCTGGGACCCCTGTTTTGCGACACCGGGTCCCCGAAGACTACGTTTAGTGGAACGTCATCAAATTGCCGCGCGGTCCTTTGGGGGGGGGGGCCCCCACCCCACGTATCAGACGTCGGGTGGGGGGGGGGTTAGGGGGGGGGGTTATCCTCTATCCTCTCTTAGGTGTCCGACACGCCGAGCAATGTCGGCGGATAAGGACGAAACCAGCGGTCCCCTAGTGGTTGAATTTTGACTCATGCCCACATAGTGCCAATTTCGGCGCTTCTTTCCTCGGTTTTCCTCAGGGCCCAGTGGTGCTGTGCTGCGGCGGCCTTTTGGGGCATCGGGGTCCCGGGTCCCTGTTGGCGCGGCTGCGGCCCGCTGCTTGGCCAGCTTTGGGAAAGCTGCACGGGTGCGTCTTTTTCTGGAGACCCCCAAGCTGGTGGTTTGCCTTGTGGCTCCAAAAACATGGACACCACACATTGGCCTTATCGTGGATGGACAAACATCCATTTCGCACCTGTTGGGAGGGATGACGCCCGATGGCCCAAGCCGTTGACCACACCCCCAGCGAGGGAGGCCCATTTCAGAAGGGGCCTTAAGCTTGCCATAGGGCAACAGAGGCGCTGAGGAAAAGAACGAGCACGTGTGGGTGTTCGCACTTTGTAGATACTCTATAGCGGTTTTCCCCAGTTCTATATGTTTTTCCATCAGTTTTAATGTCGTTTCGTGAAAATCAAGGGACATGACCAGGGCCATCATCAAGAGGAGGTTCGCGGAGTTTTTGTAGGCCTCCAAGGTCGAAACCAATACGCACAGTCCATCCAGTCCATCCAAGGGGGTCACTTGGGAAGACGAGCTCGTCGCCGGGGCTCACTATGAAGAACATGTCCGTAGCTCATTTTGACAAGCTTGAAATGGGCTTAACTATGTCCACCGGTGAAGAAGGCTTGCAGTTTAACGGGCGAACATGAAATCCCAAAGGCTGAGCTCACCAGTTTTTGCATTTTCAAGCTCATTATGCATAGTAGCATTGAGACTATGAGTATGAGCATCATTGTATATGCATTGGAAAACCAGCCGTTGGAAGCGTGTGCAACGGATCTCACATACATTACTTGATTTGTGCAAGACAGCGTACGTCACATCCATCATACTTGGCGAAAGACCAAAGACCAACTGACAGCCACCAACCAGCAGACCCATTTTGTTCGATGCTGTTTAATTAGTGTCCTTGATGTTGCTCAATGCTTAACATTGTTACATTGCGAGCCAAATATCCGACATCTTCCTCTAACACAGCACGCTGCAATCAACAGCACAAACAAAAGACAAGCAAACAAAACACACACACACACACATGCAAATCAAGAAGCACAGACAGACAGAGAGGCAAAAACAAGACACCAAGCCAATGACGCACACACACACACAGACAACAGCACAACAAACAAGAACCAGCAGCAAAACAAGTAGCACGCAACAAGCAACAGCCAACAAGCAACAAGCAAAAGCAACACAAAACAGACAACGAACAACAAATAGCAAACTAGCAAACACGAACGCGCTGGCCTGGCATTAGCGCGTGTGTTCTTTGCGCTGTAGAACCAGCGCAAAGTGGGTTTTTGGGGCTCCAGGAAAGGGGGGGAGAAGTTTGTTTCTTTCAAACGCATGCTGTATCTTGACAATGCCTGAGCGGGACACTGCACGGTGAATGTTGCCAAAGCACTTCTTAAGAGACACAACTAGACACGCGGGCTTGGCCCTATGACTCGCCCTTTTCGCTGCCTCGATGTAGCGTGTGCGTGGGCGCTTACAGCAAAGCGCCTGGAGAAACAAAGCAACGCGCAGCAAAACACACAACAAACAACAAAGCAACTAGCAACACGCAACAAAGCAACACACCACAAACATGTTGGCAACAAACAAATCGCACCAGCCCAAAAAGCCAAACGCAGCAAGCCTTCAAACATCAAAACGACAAAACAAAAACCACCCGCAAAACGCTCACGAACAGATCAAACCCAAGCACACGCCCAAAATGCCAAGGACCTGCTGCATTTGCCCGTGGCCACTCTGGCCGGCGCTGCGGGCGCCGTCCTGGCGCCGGCGGTTTTTGCGCTGGGCGCGGCGGTGGCGAGTGGGCGGGTGGCGCTGCATGCCACGGCGGAGGTGCGGGGAGCCGGGGGGGCGGGGATGGGGTGCGATCCACAGATACCAGGTCCCCGAGTCTTTTTTTTTGGGAGGGTTCCCTTGCTTACAGAAACAAGGGCACCCTTATTCCAACCTCTCTACTGGAGGACCTGGGATATGTTGGGTGTGTCTCAAAATACGGGAACCCCCCAAAAATGGGTGGTCTTGTGTTAGGTGGAAGGTGTGTGGGGGATGGTTGCTTCTTTGCGTACAAATCCTGCTAGACTGCACCATTTTATTTTTTTGAGGGCTGATTGTAGCAGTATAGCGATGCTCGGAATGTTGGTGATGCCGTGTGGTGATGCTTGGGATGTGGGGTGGTGATGCTGGGGATGCTGGAGATGCTGGCTGGTGAAGCCAGGGATGCTGACTGATAACTCCTTTCATTGGGTTGGACTTCGTTCATGTGCATGGCTCATTCAATGATTTGTCTTCGATGAAAAAGCGATAAAACAACAGTCCTCGTTGCCTCAGAGGTGAGCCGAAAGGACCCTAAGAGATTCCAGTCACTTGGCCAGACTTGACCCCGGTTTTGCTGGTAAAAAGGAGAAATAAAGGAATTCAAGGGGCAAAACGAAATGTGATTTTATGGTTCATGTGGTATTCAGTCATTTCATGAATTGTCTTCTTAGTGAGTCCCCGCTTCATGCGGGCATTGAGTGAGGTGCCCCATGTCCCTCTCAAATTGGGGATGCTGACTGGTTTTTCAATTCCAACGCTTTCCTTTGCTTTCCCTTGCTTTCCTTTGCTTTCCTTGGCTTTCCCTTGCTTTCCTTTGCTTTTCTTTGCTTTCCCTTGCTTTCCTTTGCTTTCCCTTGCTTTCCTTTGCTTTCCCTTGCTTTCCTTTGCTTTCCTTTGCTTTCCCTTGCTTTCCTTTGCTTTCCCTTGCTTTCCCTTTCCCTTGCTTTCCTTTGCTTTCCCTTGCTTTCCTTTGCTTTCCCTTGCTTTCCTTTGCTTTCCCTTGCTTTCCTTTGCTTTCCCTTGCTTTCCTTTGCTTTCCCTTGCTTTCCTTTGCTTTCCCTGCTTTGCTTTCCTTGCTTTCCTTGCTTTCCCTTGCTTTCCTTTGCTTTCCCTTGCTTTCCTTTGCTTTCCCTTGCTTTCCTTTGCTTTCCCTTGCTTTCCTTTGCTTTCCCTTGCTTTCCTTTGCTTTCCCTTGCTTTCCTTTGCTTTCCCTTGCTTTCCTTTGCTTTCCCTTGCTTTCCTTTGCTTTCCCTTGCTTTCCTTTGCTTTCCCTTGCTTTCCTTTGCTTTCCCTTGCTTTCCTTTGCTTTTCTTTGCTTTCCTTTGCTTTCCTTTGCTTTCCCTTGCTTTCCTTTGCTTTCCTTTGCTTTCCCTTGCTTTCCTTTGCTTTCCTTTGCTTTCCTTTGCTTTCCTTTGCTTTCCTTTGCTTTCCCTTGCTTTCCTTTGCTTTCCCTTGCTTTCCTTTGCTTTCCCTTGCTTTCCTTTGCTTTCCCTTGCTTTCCTTTGCTTTCCCTTGCTTTCCTTTGCTTTTCTTTGCTTTCCTTTGCTTTTCTTTGCTTTCCCTTGCTTTCCTTTGCTTTCCTTTGCTTTCCTTGGCTTTCCCTTGCTTTCCTTTGCTT